GTTACTGGAGAATGGAAGTGATTCAAATAGGTGAGGAAGGACATGAAACAAATTTCTTTATAAGGATATATTGGATGCTGTGGTCAATCTACACTCCTATCAAATATACTGAAAGAACACTATAAGTAATGCTGTATTATATTATTTGCCTTATGATTAAATCTTGACATAAACTGGTCAAATAAATAACTCAGTAGGAGAATCTGAAGTAATATTTGCACAGTTGCTTTTTGGAAGCAATACTCTCATCTTTCCAGAAAAGGGAAGGATTAGATACCTTTCAAGCTTTCAATAAAAGCCTAAAATCAAAGACGACCAAAACATCGAATCAAAGTCTGAAAGATAGATGTCTTGTATTTGTGAAATATTGGCACAAATGCACTTTTGAATACGGAGAATTAAAATTTAAGTTGTTTATCTCTGAAACAGGTTTAATTTAATATCATGCAAGGCAAATAGACCTTTACTTATGCTGTTAAAGTAGTGCTGAATCAATTATAGCTACTGCCTATTTAAAAAGAATAAAAATAAAAGAAAAATGTAGCAACAACCATTTGTGTGTGTCCAAAGAACACAGATTTTACATGTTCATGAAATTATTTATCTTTGCAATTAATAAGCTAAAAACATGCAGTTCTTTTGGGTCTTTGCTGTAATGGACCAATATTCTGTATGTTTTAGAATAGGTAATAAAGGCTGACATGGCAACTAAGGTCAAATAATCCTGCTCCGTTTTGTACCATCTGTCTCACTGGCAGTATATTGAGTAAATATTCTTTTTTAATGGTGGAATTTTCTCCATAGCTAATCCATAGTCACAGCTGCAATGCCTGACAAAAAATATAGATTCAATAGATATCTTGGGATTGAATTGAATGTATCATTTTCTGTTCTATATAAGGCCCACATTAAGTTATAGACAAGGCCTCCTTCTTAATTTCTGGATGTTTCGTGAAGTGTACATAACCATATAATCCCTATACTATATCAGTGTAGGGAATTTACACAAATAATTTGAATACTTTGACTCACTAAATCATTCAAATCCTTTAAAGCAGTAACACCGGCTCCTTTATGAACAAAATCTTATAGATTAAATGTCACTATCTCCCTTAACAACTTGCATAGATACGGCAAGTGACTATAAGGCTTTTCCTTGAAAGCTGGTTTATAGATTACAATCACAAAGTGTGTGGAAGAATACCTCCTCTCTCTTCCTTGTTCAAAACTCACACAGCTCTATCTGATTGCCATGTTTTATGAGCACCCAGCAGTTGGAGAAACAAGTCTTGTCTTTCAAATAAATCTCTTATCTCTGTCTGTGTTCAAGACTCAAGTCTGCTGCAAAGGCTTACGTCTAATGCAGTGTCACAAACTCTAAAATTGGAGTCATTTAAAAGTTTGTCCATGTCCTCTGTGAGATAAGAGATTGGCAGTGTTAAATTTGTAGATAACCATTAAGGTAGTGATCCCAAAACACTATGTTTCTAAGCAACCTCTACTAAAGTAGGGTGGCATTTGCTGTACTTGACCTAGTCTACCTAATCAAAAGTCCTGCCCCTTATAGCAATCAACAAAAGGTATTTCAGAGGAAGGGATCTAACTTTTTTTCTTTTTTGCTTCTTAAAAAATAGTACAGTATAGGAAAAAGCACTTCATGGAAAAGACTCTCAACCCTAATTCCCAGGGGCAATAAGCTCATCTTCAGAAGCCTTTAAATAACCTTTCTCTCATATCTCCACTGACCAGGCTATAAGTGACTAATGCTGATCATAAAATTACCCAGTGCTTTTGAAAACCCAGACACAGTTGCCTCAAAAAATCTCTCTCAGGTCATACAACCTGCACTCAAGAGCAATTCTTGCTCTCCAAGAATATTTCTTTCTCTTTTTTAATCCACTTTTGCTTTTTAAAAGATATTCTGGGTTATAAGATGTGGTTTCTCAGGCTAATGGGGTGCCAATTTATTCTTCAGCTTGACTCATGCCTTCTTCATATATGAAGCAAAATAGTGGCAACCTTTTCTTAAAGGACAGTGGTTGACCCCATGTACTTTGCTCATATTCTATAAACTGAGCACTCTCTTATCTCAGAAGAAGCTGCAGATGCTCTTTGGCCTTGGAACGTCACTGAAGTGTTACAGGGTGCTGCAGATGAACACATTTAAAATTGAAGGTCAACATATGGGTGATAGGATGGACTGCCAATTTCAAATACTGAAGGGGCATTTCTGTGAAAACGCTTTCTTTTTATAATCTGATAATATCCCCACTCTTTATATAAATAAAGAACTTCATGACAGTTTTACTCATACTAGCACAATATTGTATACAAGATATCTAGTAAGTTTTTCTTTTCAGTTGAGTTACATTGTGAGGGTTTTTAAACTATTCTAGAGGAGATCCAAACAATAAGGAGCCAATCAAGCTTTTCAATGGTAAACTTAAGTAAGGTTTAGCATATTTTGTTTTTCAAAACCCAGGACAATCTCCTAAAATTCTTTCATTAAACTTTATTATATATGAACTTTTAAAGGTATTGGTAAAACTAAAAGGAAAAGTACCTGTGCTATTGTTGCTTACATGAAATTGGTATATTTGTATTTATTCAAATTGGTATTTGTGTATTTATTCAATTCTTCATTAGCTATAGAATTACAAGAGATGTTTCAACAGAAAAAACTTAGTGGCACTGAACAGGGTTCAGATCCCTCCTGTTCCACTGCATAGACCACTTTCCAGTGTTTATTGAAATAAGAATACCTTGCATCAGGATTATGGCATTCCATTAGAAGATGTATGAAAAGTCCCCAGTAAAATGCCTAGCACATACTGGATCACAGTAAGTCTTTACTGATGTGCATATAACCAAATATGAAGACGGGAGAAATATTAGACGAAGATTCCTCATCCAACCCAGATGATGAGACCAAGGCCTTAGAGAGCTTGCCTAATTTTATAAGCCAAAAGATTTGCACCATTTTGGTTTTTCCAAAAGAATGTTCACTACCAAGTAAGAGATCAGTGGGTGTAAACTCATTCATTCAGCCTGAAAAAATGTCTTTAGGTTTACATCACTCTGAGGAAACATTAAAATTTCATATTTCTTTCTGAAGTCTTATTTCTACTGGGTTAGTGAACTTGTCATCTGTGTATAAAGAAGACTCGCTTTCAAGGAGAATGAAAAATGGTTCTCTTCTATAATCGGGGACTCACCGCTCTACCTTCCCCGGTAACATCAGCCATCATGACTCTGTCTCCCTAGCAACCATGTCTCTATATCAGACAGCTTTATCTGAAACAATCATCACTGAAGAAAAGGTAGTCAAAAAAGAGTTCACGTAAAAATAAAAATAAAGCATGAAATAACCACGGGAATAGGTATACTCAATGCTTCCTTGGGATGCTAAGCAATTTTCTTTGTATAATTTTAACAAAAATTTAAAGAGCAGAGATTTGTCAGAATACATATGTATTTCATCAGGTTAAAAACTTTGTTTCAAATGTTATGCTAAAAGAATGTGACTGATAAGATATAATAGAGCTGTAACAAAACAGGAGGCAATTCTGTTCACACCAGAAAGTTCTAAAAAGCAACACGGCAAATATTTCCTGAGACCTTTGTGTTACTAAACACAATTTTGATACAATAGTCTGTACCTTGAGTCTTTCTGCCCCAGGGTCTCTGGGTGAGCTAATTTCTATATTGAGTTGGTTCTCAGCACCAAAGGTCTGAGGGAACACAGGAAAGTTTAAGCAAACAGTTCACTTTATTTGAAACGGATTTAACACTGTCATCAGGAACACTGTGTCCCTCGTGGCCTCATTTTATGGCCCATGCACCTGATGGGCGAGTTCCTGCCAAACTCATTCCTCGGTACCTGCCAAGCCTTCCCCCTCAGGCCCTCCATGCAACCTTTATCCCACTCCTCACTTCAAATTCAGGATTTTCTCAGCCCAAGTAGGTGATCCTCAATAACCAAACATCAGTTTCTGATTGCCAGTGTACTAACCTCAGTTCATGTCCGAATGAAGAAGATACAAAAAAAAAAAAAATTATATAAAAACTCATTGATATTCTAAACCAGGAAATGTCTCCTATGGAAACTAGGCAAACAGTATTAGCTTAAAAAAATATATATCTATCAAGCCTTAAAATCTCAGCCTACACATAGCAATATGGTATCTTAGGGAAAAGATTTAAAGATAAAAGCTTTAATAATAATAGTGTGTTTACAAATGTTTAGCATCTTCAACTTTACAGCATTTTACTGTGTCTCATGTTGTTATCTTAAAAAGCTTTATGTAACACGAAAAGGTAAACTGTTATTACCCTCATCTCATAAACAGTGAAATAAACACAGTAATCTGTTCAACATCATGTAGTGCATTTGTGACAGAAACAGAATTAGATGCAAGGTCTCCTAACTGTAAGCTGGGCACTGAGGGAAATTCTGGGCCTTTTCTAATTAGAGTCAACTCGAGCAGAAAGCCCTTTACATTGTGCTTCAGTCTTTCTGGGTCCCAGGTCAGTCCCAGTCCCAGCTGAATTTATGTTCTCTCTCTCCTTTCAGGCCAATCCTGTTGCACTTGCTCCCAGCTCAGAGAAACAAGAGACTATGCTCATTTTAAAAGCTGGCTTTGCAGCTCTGCTTGCAAAGAATGGAGAATCACGGAACCATCAGATATATGCCACTAACCAAGATATTCAATGAAGGACCCAACAATTTTGGCAATATTTACTTACTCGATACTTCCTAAGCCCTCAGCACTGTTCTAGGCATTCGGGAAACAAAAACTAAGAGAAGAGACAGCATCCTCCACCTTCATGGGGCTTATATTCCGGGAGAGGAAGACGGATAGTAAATTATAAATATAATATATAGGTAAATTATATGGAATATTAGATCATGATAAATGCCAAGGGGGTAGATATCGGGCCAGGTAGGGAGTTTGCTAGAGGGTAGAGATGAGGGTGGGGGTACAATTATTAGGCTGGGTGGGACAATAGGCATTACAGTCAGTCCTCTATCCAGCAAAATCTAATGAGGGAAAGGGAACCAGAGAGAGAAGGACTGACAATAGACAGTTACTTACAGACACCTGCCATAATGAACACATCTAATACTAACAAGATACACTGAGACACTGAAAAGTCTAGGGAGACCTAACATATACAAGCCAGTTTACATCCCCCCACAATTTCTGGGGTTATGTCCCTCCCAGGGCTGACCTATCAGATTATAAAGTATGTTTGCTTCTCTGCTCAGGCTGCATAGTTTCCCATGTTTCATCATCCTCCTTATCAGAGCTTGCTCCCTCCTGAAGATCCATTCTGGGCTCAAAAGACTCCTTCCTCGAGGTATGTCCTTGCAGTTAGCACCCACCGAGCTCTGGAACCAGGTTTCGGATGATTCAAGATCAACTACTGTCTCTCCTCACCATTACGGCTGGACTTGTCAGCCAGGCACTCCTGGGTTGATGGGCTTTAATTCTGCTTGCTTTCCATTGAAGGCTATTTTACCCTAAAGCACAGTGCTTTCCAGAGGGAGCTGGACACTGGGGCAACTTAGTGCATTTTTCTCTCTCCCTACAGCACCACCCGGACATAACCAAGCTCTGTCTTATTTAGGACATGGCTTCCTTCCTCCTCTGGTCTCTTTTCCCTCCTCCCACCAATCTGCAGATTCTGTTTCCCATAATAATTTACAAATCTCTGTTTTCTCTTCCAAATTTATCGAAATTGATCAGCACTGCTAAATTCTTCTACTAATGGTATTTGAAACATGATAGCTCTTGGATACAAATTGCTTCCTCGTAGGAATTATTTCTGCACAATCAAGAATGTTCTCCACAGCCAAGCTAAAGCAGAAGGTCAGGTTCCAAGGTAGCAGGTCCTTCAGCTCAAAATTCAGCTTCTGGAAAATTAAAATGGATATAATCATTAGGACAGCACCTAAATACGGTTTAAACCTATACTACCCTTCAATTGTATGGTCACCATCCAGAACGCAGAGACTGAAAAGGTAAGTTGAGCATAACTACAACAAACGAAAAGGGAAATTTAACCAGGAGGGAAACATCCCACAAATGGAAAATAATACAATAAACTATGGTATATCTTGAATTCTTGAAAGGCTTGGTATTGAATATATGAATAGCAAGCAGATATACTCAGACAAGGACTGTTTTTATTTTTTCAAAAGGAACAGAAAAAGAAATCACAAATATTCACAAAACTTACTTTAAATGTGTTTTTTAAAAACATCACAAGTAACAAATGACATTTTAAATGTGACAGAATTTATATTCCAGTGATAATACCAATAATAAAATTAAATTGAAATTAAGAAGGAAAAAAATCATATAAAGCAAACTACATCATGAAAAAGTTCTGCCCCACTGGTCATCACGCCTGTGTCTAGCTCCGGTCCTGCCACTAACCAGCTGTGTGAAGGGGAAACCTTTGGGCAAGTCATGGAATGTCCCTCAGTGAAAACTCTGACAAATATAAAATTAGTTTTTTGAAAAAGATCTTCAATTTCCTTCCAGTTCTGAAGTTGTATGAATCTTCTGATGGTTTACATCAGATTATAGAACCACAGGTTATAAGTTCTTTAATCATGTATTCCTGTCCCACTAGTTCTAAAACTCTATTCCTGTCCCATTGGTTCTAAAACTCTATTATGTCAGTTTGAAGTAGATCATCATATCAGTTGAAATACTGGTCCTACAAAGTAAAGTATAGAAAATGAATTGATATCACTCAAAATAAGGTATCTGAGATTCAGACTCTTTTAATCAAACACATTCAGTAAAAGCCAGTCTTTCTGGAAAAGCTAAAATGGTAATAATTCTTTTCACTATAAAATTCAACTTTGGCAACCCACAAATTATCTATACAATTTAGCTTACAAACAATAATAGCCTTCTGTCTTATTTGAAAAGAAAATGAAATATGAATTATTTCTCCTCATTACTTTTTCCCCCATTTTCTAAGAAAAATTTTAATGAAAACAAATATATTTTCTTGCTTAGGGCCAGAAAGAAAACAAAACTACCTAATTATAATTTCTGCAGCTGGAATGAGAGAGTTTAAGCAGAAAAATATTTAATCATCGAATGTATTGAGTATTGTCAGGATCAGAGCAGAGTTCTTTGAATAAGGTGACCATGCTGAATCAGAAGAATGGCAGCAAAAGAGAAACTGGATTTTTCTCAGGACCACAGCAAATGCCTTTTTCCACATGCACCAGTTCTCGAAGTGTTTCATATCAAAGATTAATTATTAATAAATTAGAAAGACATTCTTCTAGTCCGTACACATTGTTTTACTTGCTGGATATCCCTAGAAACCAACCTAACTCAGCTTACTGTTATTTTTACAGCCAAATCATAGCAAATCTGGGACAGTCTTTATTTAGATAGTCAGCAAGGGATTCTTTGATATTGAATACTTCTAGCTACTTCTAAACATTAAAAATAGCCAACAAAAGACTCTCTTATGGATGTTTTTATTGCTTATTTCATCCTTTATTTACAAATATTTGTTGTGTGCCCTCCATGGAGGCACTATTGTAGGCCTTTGGGTCAAAGATCCTTGCCCTTGTGCCTTTGAGAAATCTTACATTCTAATTCAGAGAGACAGACATAGATGATACACATTATTAATGAGTGAATCATACAGTGTGTTAAGAGACAGTAAGTGCTACGGGAAAAAGAAAAAGTCAAGTAGGGTGAGATAGAGAAGGTAGACAAGGATGGTATGGGCCAAGGTGATATGGGGATTGCTGGAAAGATGATGATCCCATCAACGGGTATTGACGAGGTGCAGGAAATAGCAGGTTGCCAGAGGGGAGGGTGGTGAGGCATGTAGCCTGGGGTTTGGATATCAGGAGTCCACCTTTAGATACACTGAGATTGACGCGTCTCTTAGAAATGAGCATCTGATTATACATTTCATTCTACATTATGTTAGCACAGAGCACCAGAGTAATTTTTGTCATATTCACTCAGAGGTTGGGGAATAGTTGGAAATCCCTAAAGGAGAAAAAGAAACAGATGTTCAAATGAGCCATTAGCCTTCTAATGAAAAAGATCTGCAAATATCTTAGGTTTTGAGATGAAGAAAGTTAAAATCCTTTTGTCTAGGATGGACACATCCACATAAAAATAGTTGTGCTAGCTTTTCTTTTCAAAAATGTAGTAAACTTTGAAGGAAACAGACACTTGAGTCTTAACAGAGAAAGGCACAAACTATAAACCACAGGGAGAGGTTTCACAAAGGGAAGAAATGAACTTCCCTGGGAATGTGGAAATCTAACACAAGCTAATTCATCCCACACACACCCCGTTTTCACAGATTCTTAATTGTCCAGAGACTCAGAATCTAAAAGAAGGAATGCTACAACCAAGAAAATGTCAGCAATGACCATGACCTCTTGCTGAAGAACATGTTGTATCAAACTTAGGAAAAGAAAGTTGCTGATTAAAGTACTGTCCAAAAATCTCTGATTTTATGAAACCAGATAATGTATCTACAAAAATGGCTATATATGCTTTTAAAAATAGATACTTTAAATAATCATGATAAAATTGATAATATATTGACCTTTTTTTAAAAAAGATCTCCCAGTAAACTGAGTTGAAGACTTTTAAGAAGAGAATGAGTAAGGGTTTGCTGCTCCCATTGAATACACTAGTCCTTTGTATACCTAGAATATCTCTCCCTCTGTATCACTTTCAGAATGTCCCAACTCAGATTCCCCTCATCTCTATCTTCATCTGTGCCCCAAATCAAGTATCTAAAGGTCACACAACACAAATAAACCCTCTCATATCATCCCTGGATTTCACACTTTTAAAGTACCAGATTTATATTAAGCAGCTTATAAAATCATAATGGGTTGGAAAAAATGTATATATACATAAACATTCACACAAATACAGGTGCTATATGTATACATATACACAATACATAAACAAATACCAGCATCTATGCATATACACACATATACACACAAACTATGTATATTCCTATACACTATATATATATATATATATATACACACATATACAGACACACACATAGACACAGTATACACACACACACACACACACACAAACACACATTTAGATGTGTATTTAGTATCTATTCAGTTCCTTAGCATTCTTATCTAGTTATATCAGTAGAGACTTGGCATATGTTGCTAATCTATTGATAACTACGAAGAGTCTCTGAAGTTCAATGTAACTATTGAGACAACATTTGAAATAATTCATCCCTATTTCACTATTCACCACAGGAAAATGACCAAAATGTTGGAAGTGATGAAAAAGATTAATCTTAAAACATTTTTTAAAGTTATTTCTAAGTGTGTCTTCGATAACCATAAATGAATTTTTAAAGATAACAAAAATGTAATTAGAAAAGAAAATTCTATTTGCTTCGTAGCTACAGCTGAACTCAATCAGATTACTCGGATTTGGTGAAGATTTCCGCTTAATTAACATTTTATGATTCAGTTAAAACGTCACATAAATTCTAGAGCATTGCTGAGCCAAGCCAGATTTGATCTGTTGGCATTTTATTACATCTGACAAGCCATAATTTAATTAGTTTTCATTTCTGTAGTGTTTAATGTAAAAAATTATGTTAACTATAAGTAAAAACTTATTATCAAAAGAGTTATCATTATGTTGCTTTCAGCCTGTTTATTGGACAGTAATCCTATTCTCTAGCTTTTAAGGAAAAGATGCAACCATCTCAGTTAATTACCGTTTCATTGCTAGTACCCCAGAGCAAGCACAGTTAAGTGTTCAATGTTCCAAAGTAACTGGCAAAGACTTAGAAGAACCAGGACATATAAATCTGCACTAACAACTTAAGTTAATTGGCAAAATGGAAATAAATACATGAAGTTAGTGATTACCCCACACTGAAATGAAAGGAACAGCTGACAGTAAACACAATCCAAGCACACAACTTCAACCAAGCTTGTACAAGTGACAAGACACTTCACTGGGATTTCGAATGAAATAGCGTGCTCGGATAGCCTCTGTTGAATCACTCTACACACGTATTCAAAAAAGAAATATCTATATCGGCAAAGGGCGGCAATAAATAGCAACGCTTTATATGTCTTCACTTTTCGTAAAATATACACTAGTGAAATAGGGGAATCCCTTTGTGAATCTAGAAGAATGCCTCAAAAAACATGATTTTCCTACACAAATTATAAAAACTGTCACTGTAACATTGAAAAAAAAAAAAAACCCTAATCTACAGCACAATATCTGAGTGATGATACATAATGGAGAGATGTTTCTACCTATTTGATAATCAAACATTCATATGTCAATAAAATGATAAAACACCATAGATCACTGGCAATACTCTAAATGTTACCACAAGTTTTGTTATTATTAATTATTATTATATCTTTAGCTTTGTTGCCTAAAGTCATTATATAGAGTACAGAGCATGTATTCTTCAGAACACAGGTGTTTTGGGATTTTTGTTGTCTTGCAAAATTCAACCTTAGCAAATCATAAAAAAAAGTTGCTGCTTGAAAATCCAAAGGTGGAGTTCAGTAATAAACTGAAACAGATGCTTTGCAGCAAGGGAAGGACAGTGTAGTGAGGCCATCAGTGTTTGCAGGGTAAACACCACATCAGAATGGTAGGTGCAGCCTGCATATTTGACAGTAGCTCTCTGGTACATAAAAAATTCCCACAAAGCAAACGGTAACAGAATTCATTCACAAGGCCAATATTAACTTTGTCTTATTTAAATGTCTATCAATGGTCTACTTACCCCTAACTTCAATTTGTAAAGGGGTGCCTCACCCCTTTACTCCTCTTGAATCCTGGTGAAGTAAAATGGCTGGCCAGGATGCTCATAGGCCGTTAAGGTCTT